CCCCAAAACCCCAAAACCCCAAAACCCCAAAACCCCACATGTACATATTCTATAAAATAAAATGTCAGTTGAAAGAGGTCTCTACACTCTTGGCAAAAATTACTCTCCTAAGAAAGAGATAGGTAGTTTATTAAGCTAAAATATAGTCCCTCGACGTAAAAAATTCAGAGAAGATCTTATAATTATCCCAAAATACTCTCATAACCAGAGTAAGCTTTAGTTGGCTAGATTTAGTAAAAACTCCTTCAAGAATGGAAGTTCAGATCAAGTTTAAAGATGAAGTCAATGATATTCTGAAGGATCTAAGTAAGCTGCCTGCTGCAGCAACCAAAACTTCTCGTGCATCAACTCTTAATGGCAAAAAGAGTGATTCCTTGATTCCTCAAAGTCCCTATGCAGGAAAATAGCATTAAATCTGGCTTTCGAGCAAATTATATTAACACAGCTTCAAATCGGAAGTACACTTTATGCTGTAAACTATATAGAAAACCTTGCCCAACTTCCTTGGCTAAAAGTATTTGCCAGATGAAGATAAACAAGCCTACATTAAGGCTTGATCTAAATCCGTATGCTAAACTTTATATGATTTAGCTTGAGTATCGATCAAAGTCCAAACAAATTATCCCAGATAGACTATAAAGCATCTTACGACAGAAGACTGGGTGATGGTAAATCATCTAAAAGCAAGTATGATCTGTCACAAGAAATGACTAAAAGATCGAATTCAATGAAATCCAAAATAAAAGTGACAAGAACTCGGTATCCATGTGTGCTTGCTCAAAATTATTCCAAAATGGTTCAGAAGAACCATGCAATTCTGAAAAGCCAAATCTCAAAATATGGTAAAATTGTCATTCATTTAGTAGGACTTCCACACAAATTTTTAACATTTTATCAAAAACAACTTGAGTTTATTGAAAGGAGTACCAATGCCAATGAAGCTCCTGTTGAAGCTTGTTACAACTTCTTCAACAAGAGTAGCACTAGGCAGAACCTTAATTCTCAGAATAGTGTAAGGTTCTTCATCACTCTAGTATGATAGCACGATTCTCAATGCTCGTGATCAAAGCCAGGCCTCTCTAAATTCTTCATGAGCCAGTGAGAGGAAGAGTAACGAATCCTCTGAAAAGAACATTACCAGAATTTCAGCTTTAAAAACATACAGAGTAAAGGAAATGTAACACTTGTGAATAATTTTTAGGACTGAACCCAAGGCTTTCCTAGAAAAGCATAAAGAGAAACTCCAAATGTCCTTGAAAGTAATGGTTAAGAAAGCTATTCGGAGCCTTGGCAGTAAAATAAAAGAGAAAGAAATAGCCTCTTGTAAGTCATTCAGGCTGATCAAATAGATCTATGCTGTGAGGATAATGAGTTCAATAACTATAACACAGATTTCCTCAAGCTAGCCCTTATCAAGAATTATTTAGGAGAAAATTACATCGAAAATCCTGTTTATAAATTCTTGAAGAAGTCTTTGTGTCTTAAAGAAGAAGGTAAGATGTAAATGCTGATGTAATAGACACTATGACGTATTCAACCTGACAAATGATACTAACATCGAAGCTTCAAGAGCAGTACTCAATCTCTCCCTCAAAGCTGAGAAATCCTATCGTCCTGATAAAGCCAGGAAATAATAACAGGATTGTAAAGTTGACAATAAAATAAAAGAAGTTGGGTCAGAACAAAGAATAAGGGCAGTTCCCAAGATTACCAGCTAGTGTGGACTCAGTGGATACTCAATCGCTGAAAGCCTTTAAAATCATCTGAAGAGTAGTCTTGATAAATAAATTATAGAAAGCTAAGGCATATGAATATAAAGCTATACAATCATATCCCGGGAAATTCCTGTATATCCAACAAGAAGAATTTGTTCAAAAATATGTATAGATATTATCTTAACCAAAGCAAAGATCCTTGGAAGTATCTTCCAATAACTTATCTTGTCACCTCGACCGAGGATGATGCCTTCTTAAAATTTGTAGATGAAACTTCCGCTGATTTTGAAGATCCTTACAAGCCAAATTTGTGGATAATCAAACCTGGAGAGTGCAGTAACAGAGGGAATGGGATCAAAGTATGAGTTAGTATCGAACAAATTAAGAGTTACATAAAGCAGAGCAAGCGCAAGTCCTACATCATACAGAAATACATATCTGATCCATTACTCTATAACGAACGTAAATTTGATATCAGATTATTTGGGCTCTTTACTTCTATAAATGGTACAAAAAGAGCCTATTTTTACCAAGGAGGGTATATCAGAACCAGTTCTGAAGAATTTGATCTTGAAGATGCCCATGACCCCTTCATTCATCTTACAAATGATGCGATACAAAGCAAAGCAGAGGATTATGGCAGATATGAAAATTGTAACAAACTCTCTTTTAATGAATTTGAGAAATATCTTCTCGAGCATAAGAGAGTTTCTTTCTATGATAAGATATATCCGAAAATTAAAAGGATAGTCAAAGATACATTCACATGTGCTGGCAATATATTAGATCCTAAGTGTGATAGCAAATCTCCTGATCAGTGATGATTCGAACTTTTTGGATTTGATTTCATGATCGACTCAGATTTGAAAGTATACTTAATCGAAGTAAATACGAATCCATGCTTAGAAACACCTTGATCCCTCTTATCATGAATAATCCCTAATGTTCTTGACAATACATTCAGGTTAACTTTTGATTTGTGCTACCCTAACCCATACAATACAATAAGTAAGGACTTTATTATCTTTTAGCCTCAGATAATTGCACCTATTTATCCAAATTTGAACAAGTTTACAGTCAAGATCCTATCATCGAAACTGAGTAGCATTATAGTTAACATCATTAATATTTCAAAACTTGGAAAATACCGCGGGGTTTTGGGGTTTTGGGGTTTTGGGGTTTTGGGGTTTTGGGG